TAAGACTGAATGCGTTTCAGCATAGAGGGCCACCACAAAATTGTACATGGGCTCCCGGATGGTCTGGGCCAGGGCCAAGGCAGAGGGGGCTGTTCCCTCACTGTTTCCAGCATGGCTTCACGGGCCACATGAAACCACTTCGCGGGCCGCATCCGGCCCCCGGGCCTGGTGTTTGACATGTCTGCCTTAAGTCAACTCAGCATCCTGAGTGGAGTTTGAAGGCTGTTTGATTGTCATCCTTTCTAGATAGAATCTATCATTACATCTTGCTTTCGGGGACAGGATATTAATCTTTTAGTCTTAGATTAGTATACTTAGAAAGATATGATTTATAATTAGGATGGCTCACTTTTCTGTGGTATGGGAAATATGAAAATATCAGGATGGCTCTTAACAAAAGAAGCTTTTACTCAATCAATTTTGAGAAAATTGTAACCTACAAAAGACATTTTGAATACTGAAGGGAAACCAAAATTGAAATAAGAGTTGGAAGAATAGGGTATTGGTTCAATAAGGTGGCCTCAGTTGCAAATATAATTGAGATATGAGTTGAGTAGAAAAGATGTTATAAACTGGAACTATTTCTATTAGGTACAATAGAAAAATACAATGAGGAAGTATATACTAAATGTTGCAGGTATTATTAGCAGTAAGAATTGTATTTGCTTAGTGCTGGAAAAATGAAGAAACATCACCTGAAGAAGGGAGGATCAAGAAAACACCAGACTGTGTAGAAATTGGCAGATCAATATTGAAGGATAAAGAAAAAGAAGACATAGAATAATTTCAAATATCACTGGCCAGAAAAAAGGGGTAGAGATTAGGAATTCAATATGTATTATTAAGTAAAAAATGGACCCAGACAACACGTTGTTTACTAAGCACTTATAATTTGTAACAATAGAAAATTAATTTAATTAAAAAAAAAGACAGCAGGATAAAAATTATTATAGCCTGGGTATCTTCTCAGAAATCCAAAGCTTTTGTTTTTGAGTTTTTGTTTTGTTCAGATTTGAGACAACTTATTTCACCCTGTCGTATTTAAGCAGCATTGTTCCAACTGGTATTATTCAAATTTGATATCTCTGAAATTCATAGTTGGTGAAAAAAAATTCATTATTTTCATCAAGACTAATTACTTTTGATATTCTTACATTCTGCTTTTAAAAAACTCATGGGACAACTATCTAAAGTAGTTTTGTACTATTCTGCTAAAAAAAAGGAACAACTATGGAACTTAATATTATCAGGATAATATATGCCGTCTTTGAGAAAGCTAAACTTAATCATAGTATTTTAGAAAAAGCCTTGGCATTTTTTTAAAAAAAAAAAAGCTCGTCCACATTATTGGAAAACTCAGGATACCAAATCTTGACTGACTTCAGAAATTTTAAGTAGTAAAAATTGTTCCGGTGTTTATGCAGATCTCACAATATAAAAACACACAAATAATGTTCACCTGGTAGATAGCTTTTGGTGAGCAGCACAAATCATGCAGTATAACAATCCTCTATATTGGATACCTTTATTGTGGACTTCTGCTTCACACATGCCTACCCAAAACCAATGTCAAGATTATTGCAACAATCCCAACTACCCATAACATCAAAGCCACATTGCATCACATCAGATGTAGCTGTTTTCAGAAGTCTTGCTTAGATTAAGCTTCAGTTTCTTTCTATAGTTTATAAATGACCTCAGGCATCAATTTAAAATCTAAACAGTTAGCTGGGATTTTGATTGGAAAAAAGATAAACAGCGTTAATCTTTTGGCTTAAGGTTCTTCTGCCATGCACTTCTAGGTAAACTACATATCTTGGCTTGTCCATGCATGCATCTAGATCAAGAATTTACAGTGTTTCGTAGTTAATGTCTTTTGATTTTGCACCATGTAGAAGGCCAGTTTGATTTCCTTGGTATACTGTAGTTTCATCTGTATTTTCATGCAAGAAGTTACAATTTTGCATTCATACGATTAGCCTATTGCAGGGGTAGGCCACCTTGGCTCTTTTATGACTCGTGGACTTCAACTCCCAGAATTCCTGAGCCAGCCATGCTGAGGGGAAAGGGAGAGGTTTCCAAGCTGAGCCATGCTGGCTCAGGAATTCTGGGAGTTGAAGTCTACGAGTCATAAAAGAGCCAAGGTTGCCTACCCCTGGCCTATTGCTTGCGGGATTGGGTTCGTGTTTCCTCAAGATTTGTAAGTTTGTTATTTCTTTATTGGAGGGCTCCATTTTTGAGGCAGTCTTGGTCTTCAGAGAAGGACTCTAATTAGTGTGGCACCAATAAGGGAAAACATCTGATTTGCGTGCTGAATTTATTGGCGTTGAAAGTGGGTGGCATAGAAGTGTGGTTACAAATAAACATCTCCGAACTAAAGACTTATTTGAGAATGGAACAAAGAAGGCAGTCCATTAATACTTACATCAGACTGCAAATGATTTAGACCTCAGACAAAGAAACTCTTTTTCTGAATGATTTGCTTTCTCTCGTAAAGGCCTTTTTTGTTGCTGCAAAATCACATTTCTGTGGGCAGTGTGTTTTGCGGACAAATGAAGTTTGTTTTTTTTTATAAAGTCAGCTTGGGAAGCCTTGTTTATAGGATATCTTAGAGCATTAAAGAGAAATTAATATGTTTTCTTAGAAGAAATCTGATGAGAGCTAAGGAGCTTGAAATAGCTATACCAGCTTCCCTTTAACTCCTTGTTAGCAATCCAAATTTAACATAGATAGATAGATAGATAGATAGATAGATAGATAGATAGATAGATAGATAGATAGATAGATAGATAGATAGATGGATTTTCATACTTGAATTTACCATTCTGTTTTTCAAAAAGATTTTCCCTACAGTATGCTGGAATTGCATTTATTTATTTACAGCTCCAAGAGCTTTCAAGATCTGTAGTTACATTTAATGTTTCTCAAATATCCCTCCATCTTTATTTAGCAGTTTTTGCAATTCATTATGACGAACTTTTTCAAACCCAGTTTGTCTCTCCCCCCCCCCCCAATCCACCCCCAGGACCCATTGTCTGCTCCTCAAAACGCCTTCGCTACGCCACCTTGGAAACATTCTTGACAGAAAGATCCTTTTGTATTTTAATAGAATCATTGCACAACATAAATATATGAAGGATCAGAAGAAAAAGGTTATAACAATCTTGTAACATGTAACTTCCATCTGTTAAGTATCAAATCTAGCCGTTTTCTTGAAATATAATTCTTTTTCCTCGATATCTATCTCTTAAACTGGAAGTGGCCCACGTTGTTTGCATGATTACAGACCATAACATTCCTATTGGGATGGTTTATCATCAATTATGTCCATACTTTGAGATATAGTATATTTGGTCCATAAGGCAGGCCCATATTTACACATCACACACTCTTTGGATGTACTTTACCTTACAAATTCATAGTGTGAATACGAGCCTCATTTAATTGAAGTAAATGCTTATTAAATTTCAATCTAATAATAATAATAATAATGGTAAAGTTGGAAGGGACCTTGGAGGTCATCTAGTCCAACCCCCTGCTCAGGCAGGAAACCTTATACCATTTCGGACAAATGGCTGTCCAGTTTCTTCTTAAAAACTTCCAGTGTTGGAACATTCACCGCTTCTGGAGGCAGGTGCATCATACACCATTTAAAGTATTGTAACATATAAATTAATGTTGTTTTCTCTGTATATTGTACACTTGGCTGGAAGAACTACATTCTTAGCTTGCCAGATATATTATCCTCATTTTCTGATGTAATAGAAAGGTATTATTTGGCTGTATTGATCATTTTAAACAGAAAATTAACTGTTAATCCCTAAACTTATCTACAATTAGCAATTGTTTAAGAAAAAGCCAAATCCAAATACTGAAGTAATTAGCTAAAAAGGGTACATTGTAGAACAGGGGTGTCAAACGGCCGGCCGGCGGGCAGGATGCGTCATGGCGAAACTGCGCCCACCCCATTGCCAGCAATGGGGAAACAAAGTCACGATATGTCGCAACACGTCATGTGACGTTGCGAGTTTGACACCCCTGTTGTAGAAAGAGTCCTCAAATTTAAATTTAAAGACTCTTAAACTTCCTTTTTCAGTAAGGAATTACTGAAACGTAGACCCACTTCTGCACATCATCCCATGAAAACCATTTGTCTGAAATGGTATAGGGCAGGGGTAGGCAACGTTGGCTCTTTTATGACTCGTGGACTTCAACTCCCAGAATTCCTGAGCCAGCCATGCTGTGAGGGGAAAGGGTGAGGTTTCCATGCTGAGCCATGCTGGCTCAGGAATTCTGGGAGTTGAAGTCCACGAGTCATAAAAGAGCCAAGGTTTCCTGCTTGAGCAGGGGGTTGGACTAGAAGACCTCCAAGGTCCCAACTCTATTATTATTATTAATAGTAGTAGTATTAGTAGTAGTATTATTAGTAGTAGTAGTGTTTAGCTGCTGAAACAATTAGAATGAATTAGCTACACAGTTACTTGTCATTGCAGCTGTTTTTATTTGCACCGCTTCTCATGGAATTGCTCATCTTTTCTGGTAGAATATTGAAAGGACATTGTCATTTAGATCTGACCCATTTGCATCTCTCAAAAGCAACAAGTTCAGAAATATTTATTTATTTATTTATTTATTATTTAAATTTATATACCGCCCTATCTCCCTTACGTGACTCAGGGCGGTGAACAGGCAATAATAAAAATCACAATAAATATTGAATAAAAAGCCTGCTCTAAAATTGGCTGTTGTGAACTAGTATGTATTGGGTGCTGTTCTGCTACATCGCTGATGCTTTTAGGCTCTGTCTGATTTTAAGCTGCGGCCATTTTACGGCTCTTGACACTGAACGTGACTTGTCTCCTTTTGCTGCTATTCCAGTTCCGTCTCCCAGTAAATTCCGGTCTCCAGCAACGCCCTCACCTCTGGCTCTGAGACAGCCAGTGAAAGCGTTTAATACCCATGGACCTAATTCCGTTCCCGAAGCCACGCCGCTTCCGCAGGGCAGCTCTTCGCCGGGGCCTTTAGCAGCTCCCAGTTCTGCAAGTCCAGCCAGCAGCATCAACAGCGCGACCCTTACCAGACCTGCGGGAACCACAGGGTTGAGGAGTGGCTTGCCAAGACCGAGCACCCCCGGCACGGGGGGCATCCCAGTGCCTCGCAGCAAACTCACACAGCCCATGCGCAGGTGAGTCTACCGCTACATCATTTGGGAGAAACATTCATGTCCTGGGTCGCGTTATCTTACACCGCTAGAATGATTTGTCTGCGTGCGTTTATTCTGAAAGTGAAACCCTTTTGTATCAAAATTAATGTATTTTTCAATGGTGCGTTTCTGGTATTTCGGAGAAGCTGGCAATAGAGGGGAATGATACTTTCGAATAGAATAGAGCTGGAAGGGACCTTGGAGGTCTTCTAGTCCAGCCCCCTGCTCAAGCAGGAGAAACTATACCCTCTCAGACAAGTGACTGTCTCTAGCCTCTTCTTAAAAATCTCCAGTGATGGAGCGCCCACGATTTCTGGTGGCAAGCTGTTCCACTGGTTGATTGTCCTCACTGTCAGGAAGTTTCTCCTTAATTCCAGGTTGCTTCTCTCTTTGACCAGTTTCCAACCATTGTTTCTCGTCCTGCCCTCTGGCGCTTTGGAGAATAATTTGAATTTGTGTGGGTTTAATCTGGCGGGCGGACTTAAATCTACTTTTCTGACTTTGAGATAAGTGAAGTATTTTGGGATAAGATGGAGGGTAGGGGTAGACTTGAAAGAGCTGAATGTTTTATGGACACCGGAATTTTTATATCAACGAAGGCAGAAAGTAATTTGGGGTGCTTTGTTAGGTGGAGCCATTTTGAGATTTCGTGGCTGAAACATCCATGTATTACCTTTGTCTCATACTTATTTTTAAGATTCAGATTTGGGGAGAAATTAAACGTGTTTACACTACTTTCTGCTGCTTTTGAACGAAATAACTATAATTTTGAAGAAATTACTATGTACATTTTGACTTACCCCGTTATATCCTTGCCTTTCTAATTTTGAGGCTATTTGTGGAATTACTACATAGATTCTTCACTGCAAAGACATTTTCTGGCTCATGACAATGTATAGTTAGACTGTGTACTACAATTAGTCCTTGCTTAATGACCAGTTCACAGTTACAGCAGACCTCCCCAAAGCTTCAGCACCCCTGCAGTTGTCTGCCCTTACAACTGGCTGCAGAGGCACTGCCATCCCCCCATACACCCCACCAGATTCTCCCTCACCAGGCCCCACTCCCTCCTCCACATTTACCTTTTGAAGAGTTCCAGAAGCTTCTGCAGCACTGGAACAGATCACTCCCTCACAAGGCCGCCCGGCCTGTTTCCAGAAGCAGCTGCCATGTTCCCAGCCACCACATTGAATTGTCACTGGGGACATGGCTGCCTCCGGAATTGTGCCACGCGGTCGCGCAACAAACTGCTCTGTTGTGCTTCCCTAACACAATCCGCACAGCGCTGCGGAACGCTTCGGGGCTTTTTTTGCAGTGCTGGCATAGGCTGCACTAGGGAAGCGAAACAGACATGCAGCTGACATGTTCCCCAAATCCACAGTTCAGTGCGGCTGCTGAGAACGTGGCCGCTTTCAGAATCGCGCCACGTGGCCCTGCGATAAAGCGCTTCGGGACCCAGTGGCGGAGGGAAAGGCCTGTGGGGACTTGGCGGGTGGGGGAAAGCCGGCCCAAGGTCTGTGGAGACCACAAAGGCCATGAAATGGAGCATGGGGCATTTGGGGGGGATGGGCAAGGTTTCGGAAGGCCCAGGGCAGGCAGGACTGCACTAGGCTTCCCAGGGTCTTTGAGGCACCCCACGGTCTGCTTAATAACCCGTGCAGTTGTGTTAAGTACCACATCAGGGAGAGCAGGGGGTCGTTAAGTGCATCTTGACATTGAAACGATGAACATACATGTAGACGCCCTTGGCTGAGCCAGCCTGTCGCAGGATGACGTCCTCAAA